GAGGAGGAGGAGGAGAAAGAAGAGGGAGAGGAGGGGAAGGAGGAGAAGGAGAAGGAAAAGGAGGAGAAAAGAAACACACTGGGAACTCTGGCAGTTTCATCTTCTTGTGGAAACCTCTTCCAGAGCTTTCTGACCTGGCCCAACATGGAGTGGCTTCCCTTGTTGCTTTATATACTGCTGTTGTGTGAAAAGATACTTTCATAACATCATTACAATGGAGATTTCTTTTTTCTCTTGCTTTACAATGTTTTTTTGATGGATCTATTTTCATCCATTACGTTGGGTACGCAATAGATCCCTCCAATCTAGAAACTCATGTCTTTCAATTTTATGAAATTTAGCTGAATTACTTTATTAACAGTAAGCTGTTCCTCTTCATTTGTTTCAGTTCTCTCTCTCCAGAGTTCCAGAGTTGTTTCACCCGATCTAATGAATTTAACCTGTAATTTTCTTTTTCATCTATATTTTCTCCACCTCTTGATGTACATTCTTTGCTTCTAATTCCTTCTGAGTTGCACTTCTATGCTATCATATTTTTAATTTTCAAAAGCTTTTTATCAAGGATGTGTCTCTTTCATGTGCCTTGAATGATTCCTTTTGAATATAACTTATACTATGCAGATGTGCCACTGGGACTTGTACTTAACACTCTTGGAGTTTTCTATACTTTGATTAGTGTATTTTCTCCAATTTATATATCACCTATTCATTTTGTTTTGTTCTTTTCTTTCTTCTGGGGACTGGATACAGGATCTTGGACATGCCACAAAAACACTCTACAGACAGCTATGTGCCCCCCCCCTTCCCTTTTTAAAATTTCAGGACAGTGTCTTACTAAGTTGCCCAGGCTGGCCTTGAATTTGTGATCCTCCTGCCTGAGCCTACTAAGTAGCTGGGATTACAAGCTGTATACCACCATACCTAGCTGGTTTCTTTAATATATTTCTGCATGTGTATGATCATTACTGGTATCTAGTTAGATTAAAAGAAAGGTTTGAGGGGTCGGGGAGATGGCTCAGTAGAATAAGCACTTGCCCAGCATGTGCAAGGGCCTGAGTTCAATCCCTGGTTCCTCAGGAAAAAAAAAAAAAAAAAAAAAGAAAGGTTTGGTTTGAAAATGTTGCTTTACAGGATGGAGATGTAGCTCAGCAGTACACTGCTTGCCTTGCATATGTGAAACCCTTGGTTCAATCCCCGGTAACACCCCCACCCCTCACCCAATGCTGCTTGGAAGCTTTAGTGTGCACTGGTGGGCTTCCTAGGCTATGATCTTCTTATAGTCAATTTTTTAGGAAGAGCCCCTAATATCACCTTCCTTCAGGAGAGGACAGAAGTTCTGACACTTAATCACTGCTTTACAGGGTAAGGGAAATGTAGAAACTGAGCGTAGAAAAAATATTGGGAGATCTTTATATTAAGGAGATATAAATCTCCTTGTTCCAAATGTGTGCCTCAGTCCTTAATGGTATTTGGTAAACTTTAAGACCCAAGATCTGAGATATTTATATATTTTTCTGCCCCCACCCCCACTAAGAATGAGTTAGTGAGCATGGTTTTTTTTATCAGTTCTACCCACTTAGGATTCAATTTCTCCTATATTTAGACATTTATACTTCTGGTTTTGTTTACTTTTGTCCTTTGTGGGTTTGGTAATTTTAGGGATTTCAGGGAAGGAAATACAAATTAAGTGTATATATTTAATCTGCTATTTCCAAATATATGTTCTTTCTACTATATTATATAGTATTTTGTTTCTCAATTTTTGATTTTGGGGACATGGCTCAGTGGAATAAGTGCTTTCCTGGCAAGCTCAAGGGCCTGAGTTCAATCCCTGGATCTGCCACACACCAAAAAAATTCAATTCTCAATTTTTAATTTCTAGGATAACGTCTCTGAATTTGCTGCTAATGTCAGTAAGAAAGTGGTCTATAGCAAAATTACAAAGCAGACACGTCTTTGTGGTTGAAGTTGTCAGTGAAGGCCCGGATGCTTATATAGTACAATTAACACAAAGATATCTGTTGGAGAAGCAACAATTCCACAAGCTCTTTTAAAGAGAATAGAAGCATTTCCTAAAAGTCTTTTCTCACTTAGAACAAAATCAAAACTCCAAAACCAGAACGTATTTCCATTTTATCTGGTCTAATCTCTCTTCATTTACAACAAAACAATTCACAAATCATACAAAGATTTACAGACTTTCCCCCTCATCATACTGCTGAACTTATAGGAGAGTAAAGCTCCGAACGCAGGTTTGAACTTCTAGTATCTGTCAGTACTGGTACTTTTTTTCCTGAAAAACTCATAAATGAATTTAACTCAAAACTCAGTATTTAGTCCATTTTAAACAAAATTCTATTACCCCATTAATTTTGTGCATACTTTATACCTTATATCTGAATCTGAAGACTTCTGTCTCACCACCAACTTTGTAATCTCTCCTTGAGACATGGTCTTATGAATCTTTGTCTGTTCATCAACTGAAGAAAACCGCTGTGATGTCTGTAGTAATTACATATGTAAAAAACTTTAAAACCAAATGAATATATGACAACACTATAAGATTAAAAATTTGAGAATTATAGTTGTTAAAAATATAAAAAGTTATATTCTTCAGAGACTTTTTGAAATAATACAACCTATTGAAAAATCTTAAGTCATTAGAAACATGGAGAACATATGTCAATGAAAATACTGACAACAGTATTTCTGACAACATGACAAAAAAAATGTCTCATGGAAAGTTAATAAAACAGTCAAGACCATTTAAAGACATACATAGATCAGGAATCTGATAAATTCAGAACACAAAATACTGTCTTCTATACTCTTTTTGTACCAAGAAATGCAATCATTTTCATGGCTTGGCTTACTATTACAGATTTTATTATATCCAATCAAAATTTAAAGGAGCTAGAACACATAGAAGAAAAAAGATCTTTATCATCACTGTTTTAAATTATAAATAATTTGCAGAACTATCAAAGTGGCATCTGAATAGCAATCAGCAAATTTTGTCATTTTTGTTTATAACATGTCCCTCTGAAGACAGTCCTAGTCCAAGGAAAGAATTCTCGTTAGTTATTCAAGTCACTGGCTAGTATTTCACTTTTCTACAGTTACTATACCTTTTCTTTAGCTTTTTCTGCTTATCTATGGCCTTAGCAACAGGAACACAAAATATCCTGCTTATAAAAAGTTAAGAAGCATACTCTTTTGGGCTAAATTGGAGTAACAGGGACCTGCTTTTCCCTCTTGTCCAAAACAAATAAACAGAAAAGAAATTAATAAATAAAGAAGAGTCATTTTTAAGACAATGGATGGAAAACAAAGTTAGTGAATCCTATGCCTCCTATAGCTATGGCACATAGAGAGGAACCCAGGTGACCTCTGCAGACACCCAGAGTCGAGCATATGAAGCTGAACACCTGAAGTGATCCAGGTAACTTGAGAACAAAAGAGCCTTGGGGAGAAGTGAGTTGCACACAAAAACAGAACTCTGGAGACCTACAGAAGGTTGCCATGGTGTGGTTTAATTCACACTTCTGTATAGGAAAAACAAGGAAAAAACCATTAGAATATTTTAAGTGGAACAGCATCCATCACTCACAAAAAGTCAGTAACAGCAGCCTATACTCAAGAGCCAGGATACATAATTTTATGATGCTCAGGACACTAGTAAAAGTACACATCTAACCTCAGCAGTACAAATAACACTAACATGAGTATTCACTAAAATGAAACTTCTTATCTTGAAACAAAGATCTAAAAAGATTGAACTACTTCCCGAGGAAAGCTCTTAAATATTATTGCAAATTATGTTTAAAGAATATTAACTGAACACAAAAATATACAGCAATCAACAAGGTGAAATTCACAAAGTTAAGAGTTGGGCATAGTTACTCATGTTTGTAATCTCAGCACTCTGGGAGGCTCAAACCCAGTCTAGGCAATTTAGCAAGACCCTGTTTTAAATTAAAAAAAAAAAATAAAAAAAAATAAAATCAAGGGTGTAGCTTAGCGTAAGGAAACTGTTGCTCAATACCCCGTACTGAAAGAAGAAAACACATGCAAAGAGGAATGCACATAATGAGGAGAAACCCTGATGAAAATAGAGAAGGACGTTACCTTAAACTGATAAAAGCCACACAAAATAAACTCATGGCCAATATTACACTGGATGAGGACAAACTGAAAGCTCTTCCTCCAAAATCAGTAATGAGACAGTGTCCATCTCACCGTTCCTGTTCAATACAGTATGTGAAACTTCAGCCAGCACAATCAAGCAAGAGAAAAAAATAAATGGAACATAAATAGAAAAGGGAAAAGTAAAATTACCCCCATCTGCTAATACTGTTCTTTACCTAGATGATCCAAAGAACTTCACCAAAAGACTTCTGGGCCTTGTGCTTGCCAGTCAGGCGCTTATGTCACTGAGCTATCTCTCTGGCCCTGCCACCAGAAGGCTTTTAGAGGTGATAAAACAAATACAGCAAAGTAGCAGGATACAAAATAACATACAGTGGTACCACAGCTCACATCATCTCAGAATGCTCTCTCAAAGACCCCTATAAGCTTCTGTGTAAAACACTAATAGTCTAAGAAGTTCTGTGCAAAACTGCAAAGAGTTAAAGCAAGTATTGAGCTTTGAACTAACCTAAAATAACTGCCAAAGAGAAAATGTTCACCCTAAGTGTGAAAACATAAAAGACTACCAGTGGATTACAGAACTGACCTCAGACAAAGACTTAAAATGCATGGGAATCAAGGTGATATATTTTTAAAGGAATTGCCTGTGGGTCAAAAGCTACAAAAAAGAAGGAAAAGGTTCCTTTTAGAGATTGGATTGTAAGAGAAAAAGAAGTGGCAACCAGATATGCAGAATACAAGAAGGTGAAAGAAAAGCAGAAAAACAGGAGGACATGTATCACGGCCTCCCCTCATCACTGAATAGACTGTCCACATAGAAACTACTTTATCACACTAGCAGAGGAAGTTCTTAAAATTTGTCACCTTGTAAAACAAACCAAACACACAACATGAATAAATACACAAAATCTATACCCAATGGTATAATAAAACCAAAAGAAATCAACTTAGGGCCAGCAAGATAGCTCAGTGGACTCAGCGCCTGCTTAGGCAAGTGTAGGGACCAGGATTCTACCCCCGGTACTGCATGACGCACCTGCCCCACTCCTGGCACACTGAACCGGCCACGGAGACCCAGTGTAGTGGCACACGCCTGTAATCCTAGCACTGGGGAGGCTGAAAATAGGAGGATCACTGTGAGTCTAAGCTGCATAGTGAGACCGTGTACCAAATACATAAAATTAAAAAACAACTTAATCTTATCTTTCCACAAAAAAGAGAAAACCTACAAAAGTATGAAGTAGAAAAAGACAAAGTACAGTATATATATAGCATTATATATGTAAGCAAATGAAAAAAATTTCTTGAATGAAATACTCAATCCCTAAAACCAGAAAACAAAACCCGAAAGTTCAAAAACCCAAACCCACAAAGAAGTGAAGACTTAAGTGACCTCAAGAAAGAAATGAGTATAAAATTAACTATTAAATGAAGATTCACAAAGTTCCAAAGAAGAAAAACACAAGTGAAAACTTAAAGAAAATTAAGCAAAGGCATGAAAATACTAAAAGAATATAAAATAAAGAAAGAAATGAAATAGGCCAGAACATAGCTGAAATGGCAGATAGGCAAAAGAAGAAAAACAGAGGTCCTTAAGAAATAAAAAATGAGGGCTGGCTAGATAGCTCAGCGCCTTGCTTAGGCAGGTGCAGGGACCAGGGTTTGATCCTCAGCGTGACATGCTGGCCCCACCCCCAGGGTGTGCTGAGACAGAGAATGAGACTGGGCATGGTGGCATGTGCCTGTAATCCCAGTGCTTGGGAAGCTGAAAACAGGAGGATCATTATGAGTCTGATCTGTGTAGTGAGAACCTGTAGACTCTGTACTAAATGCAAAACAAATAAATTAATTTTTTAAAAATACAAAATGATGGAATATAACAAATAGGTAAAACTACAATTAATGAATTAAGAAATTTTAGTAAGCAAAATAAGACCAGAACTTACTCACTGAAAGAACCCAGGACATAATATGATATTATTAACCTAGGAAAGCCATATCCTAGACGTGAAACATAAAGAAAAAATTCTGAAGTTCTATAATCTAAAGATCAAATAACGTAGAAAGACAAGAAAGAATTAGAATTAATACAAATATATAAATGTGAATAAAGGATTTTGTATGTAGCCAAAATGTGCCTTCAGATACTAAAGCTACAGAAAGAACTCAAGAAATTCTACAAGCTTTTCCTGAGTAAACTACTATGGGAACAGCTTCATCTAATTAAAATGAACAGGGAAGCTTCAGCAAATTTAATATTCAGGAGCAGATGTAAGATGTAAACAAAGTAGGAGTTAGGATAAAACAATAACATTTGATATGCCTTAGGTGGGTTTCCTGGTGCCTTTTTGTATAATCATTTTATATGATTATTTTATTCACAGTGTGTATTTGAGTTGTTATAAAGCAGAAATAAAACTTTAAAAAAAAACAAAAGTAGAAGGGACAGCCAGCCAAATAGCTCAGTGGAACAGGAGCTGGCCCTGTCCCCCGAGACATGCCGAGACAGCAATTGAGACTGGGCATGGTGGTGCATGCCTGTAATCCCAGCCCTTGGGAAGCTGTAAACAGGCAGATCATTACAAGTCCAATCTAGTAGTGACACCCTGAACACCCTATAGACTATTCCCTAAAATATACACACACACACACACACACACACACACACACACACACGTAGAAGGGAGAGGAAAAATAAGATAATATAATAACTTATTGAGGGTCAGGGATATAGCTCAGCAGCACAAGTGGTTACCTGGCAAGTGCAAGGTCCTAGGTTCGACCTCTGCTACCAAATAAGTGAATTACTTATTTACTTATTTATTGATACTTGTGTCACAAGTGGGAATTAGATTAGATTATGTGTTAAAAACTGACTAACCAGGGGGAAATGGATTGAATAAAAACAAAGTTGATTATCGGCATTTTAAAAATTATACATGAAGATAAGCAATCAATAGATTAAAAAATGTTTTCAATTTGATACCTAAAACAGAGTGATCCAGAAAGGCCAATAATAAAGGGATAAACAAAAGGATATTAGGTAACTAAAAATAGCAAGAGGGGAAATGAAAACAAAAGAGCATTAAATGTGAAAAAAGGCACTTTCTCATCTTAAAAGCCACAATTAACAATGAGTAACACATATCATTATCTGGATGAGACAAATAAATATACTCAAAATAATGAGTCTATAATAGATGAAGATGGTGAACAGAGATTATGAATATCTGGTAAAACTTTATACTCTGAATAAAGAACACATTCTTAAATGCATGTCATAATAATCACATATTAGGTAACAAAATATCAGCAAATTATATCATATAGAAATATTATAGTTAATTACAATACAATAAAAACATAAATTCACAACATTTTAAAGTTTTTCTCTAAAACCTAATTTTTTTTTGCTAATCGAGTATGTGTGTGTGTGTGTGTGTGTATACCATACACATGACAATGTTTAAAATTTTATAGGAAAGCTATAATAAAACTACATACGTATGGGATATATCTGAAAGGAGAACTGGGAAAAATCATTGATTTAAAAACCCATATTAAAAAAAATAAAAAAATAAAAACCCATATAAATAAAAACAGAATAAACAAATTAAATTCCCCACTCAAAATCTAGAAAAATGGCCAAGCACAGTGGCAGATACCAGTACTGCCAGCACTCAGGATGTTCAAGCAGGAGACCTGCCACAAGTTCAAGGCCAGCCTGAGCTACACAGTGAGTTCTGGGTCAGCCTACACTACAAAGTGAGCCCAGATTCCAAAAAAAAAAATCTAGAAAAATGAGAAAGTAAGCCAAAAAAGCACACAAAATAAAGCAGATGCAAATAAAACACAGAATGGAAAAAAAATAGCTATAATAAATCGAAAGTGTGCCCTTTTGTTTTTTAAATGCATTTGGTACAGGGTCTACAGGGACTACAGGTTCTCACTACATAGATTGGACTCGTAGGGATCCTCCTGTTTTCAGTCTCCCAAAAGCTGGGATTACAGGCATGCAACCATCATGCCCAGTCTCTTATCATTATCTCAGCACACCCTGGGAGCAGGCCCCGCATGGCACGCTGGTGATCGAACCCCAGCTGCTATGCTCTGCCTAAGCAGGTGCTTTAGTTTGCTGAATTATCTGGCCAGCCCTAAACCTACCACTTTGGAAAAAAGACAAATGATTAGCTAATGTAAAAGAAAATAAACATAAATCTATAAAGTAAAATGTGACCCCTAAAAAAAATCACTGAAAGAAAAATTTTTGAAATTAAAAATTCTAACAACTACTTTCTATACTTCTATGCAAACAAATCTGAAAAGTTACAGGAAATGGATGATTTCAAATCAAAACAGTTTACTAAAAGTGATCCCATTAGATAAAAAGTTTAAAAAGATTAACTTCCCTGGAAGAAAAAAAGGAATTTATCAAGGAATATACCACAAAGAAGCACCAATCCCAGATGGTTTGACAGGGAAATTTTATCAAAACTTCAAAGAACAGATAGAGTACTATAAAGTTGTTCCTGAATTTTTAGAGGGAATACAATATACACAGAACTACAAAGTATATATTCAGTATACTCAACAGTATGGCTGGTGTCTCACAGCTATCAATCCAAGACAGTTGCAAACTAGTTATTCAACACCAACCAGTTTTCCACTGATTTTGTTGCTGTTGTTGTCGGTTTTTTTGGAAGTGAGACTAGAACTCAGAGCTTTTCCATTATCTCGTTTTTCACTTTTGCAAGATTTTCAAAATCACAAACCTAGGCTCCCAAGTCATATAAATGTCCTCTCCTGATATCTTCCTTTGTGAGACATTACTAAGACAACCAATGCTGGTTTTCCTTTACTGTGAGACAAAATAATAAAGTGAGCTTTGCGTGATCCACACACAGGGTTTTCTAGCAGTCTTCTGAGTAGACAGTGAAGAGAAAGAAAACAACACAGATAGGCACTGAAGAGTAGAAGAATATGTATTTCTGAGAATAACAAGCACAAAACAGGAATAGAAGAAGCAAGATCAGAAGTGGGGAACAAGGTGTTTCACTATGCTGGAGACAAAGATGAACAAATTGGGAATTATGACACCACTGAGATTACTGCTTTAAGTTTGGCTAATGGTAGAAGACACTATATAGAGAAAAGTATGTTCCCACACTAATATTACAGATAAGAGATGCTTTTACTAATGCAATTGTCATCTAGAAGACTGAGAGACTTGACCTAGGGAAGTCATCTTTAAAATTCTGGTTAATAGAACAAGTCCTTCTTCTTTAGAAATGCTAACATCATGGATATAAGAACAGAATGAAAACAACATACAGACTAAATAGTAATTTAAATGGCAGAATTTGAAATTTAAAAGAATGTAAGTCACACAAGGGAGAGAAACTACTACCCTTACCTCCCCTCCCACACAGCAGCTAACAACTTATTAATTAGGCAACAAGACTAATGCTTATCAAAATCCTTTCAAGTAATTTATCTGTAAGAATCTTTCTCTCAGTAATTAGGTATTTCAAAACTGGAAAGGTCAGATTGTCATTTCTGCCAAGATTTAATGGCACCTTCTTAGCAAGCATCAGTGATAAGATTTCATTGCTCTGATTTGTTGCCCAACAAATTAGGTTTTAAAAAAATCCATGTACCGCCTAAAATTAAACCCATTTAAAAAATTGTGGAATTTAGGAATGTGGTAGATCCTGCTTAGAAACAGTGTAAGTCTTCATCTTCACAATGACATTTAAAATGCTAGAACATGGCACATTTTCAAGATAAACATAAAGCATTGTAAAAATCACTCCTATCCTCCCCACCTCCAACCCCAATAAGTATCTATTAGCATACTCTACAAAGCAAAGCTCATTCATGCAAGTGTCCACCAGAAACAAGCACCACCACCTGGTCCTAAAGTAGCCAGAGATGAGAGAGAGGAGTAGTAAGAAGCTAAGAGTGACTAATACACTGTGCAGGGAAGTGTTCTACAGCTACCGCATGCAGTGGCCGTCAAGCAGGTGACAGACGCTAGAACAACACTAACAGGAGCTAAATGCTCCAAGCAGAAAGCCCAACTTCCTAGTTCATCTCAGCAAGAGTTCAAGTGTAAAGAATTCTATCCCCAAAAGGAGTAGGGGTTGTTACAAAGGAAACTCAGGAACACAACAGCAGTAACAAGTGCTAACATCTTAAACTAGTATTTTTCAATGAGATGCACTCTATTACAGAACTTTTCACAATTACTAATCACATAACACAGTATATTTCATTATTTTATTTGTAACTCACAGGGCACCTTCAAAATGGAATTTTTTTGTATACAAAAAAATTTTACCTTTAACTTTTTTTAAAAAATGTATTTAATACAGGGTCTCACTATGTAGATTGGACTCGTAGTGATCTTTCTGTCTTCAGCCACCCAGTCTCATTCACTGTCTCAGCAAGCCCCAGGGGCAAGGCCAGCAAGGAAGGCAAGGGATCAAACCCCCAGCCCCTGCATCTGCCTAAGCAGGTACTTTAATCTGAGGAGCTATCTGGCTGGCCCATCTATCTCTAATTTTATGTATACTGTGTGTACTGTGTTTCTAACTTCTATAATCCTACGGTTTGGTTCAGATTAATGACTCATTTATTTAATCAGGGAACATGCCCTGCATTTTTCCATTTTTGTTTTTCCCCTCATGAAACGTATTATCATTTTAAACCTGAATATACCTTTCAAAAATACATAGTAATGGTGTTGTGAAAATTAAGAAAAATTTTATTAACTATCTTCATGATTCAAAAATTTAAGAGCTTTCAAAAATATTTAATAATTTGAAGATTATCACACATTTTCCCACCAAACTGTAAAAACTGTACAGCGAACTTACAGATCTGCATGGAAATAAAACATACTTTGGTGATAATGTTTTGGTTTGTATTACAAACATATTGTGTATGGTCTAGGACAATTCCAAAATAAAACTCTTTACCCTGACATACCTATAAATATACTTACACTCATCAAAAACATTTGTCCTAATTTTGGGTGAAATGATGAAGAATTTATATTCCAAGCCCAAACAGTAAAGCTTTATTTAAACACAGTGCCAACATTATAATTTGACATTAATACAAATCCACATTACATGTGGCCTTCTGCTTGGTTGGATTTTCTGGGGCATCATATTTTGCTCACAAATTTTTAAAAACATCATGTTTATTTGATATTACTTAAAAACAGGGGTAAGGAAACAAGAAGTAAATAACATTTCAGTTAAAAATCCATTGAGTTATGTAACAGCCTACTTCCTAGGCCAGGGAGCAGTCAAAAACAGTCTACTGTCTGTGTCTGTTGTTCTATTAGAATGCAAAAATATCTATTGGGCTTTTTTTGTTTTGTTTTGATTTTGTCTTTTTGAGGCAGGATCTCCCTATGCAGTTCACATCGGCCTTGAGCTCACTCTATAGCCCAGAATGGTCTCGAACTTGCAATGATCCTCCTACTTCAGCCTCCCAAATGTGTGCCACCACACCCAGCAGGGCTTTTTTTTTTTTTTTTTTTTAACTCATTGTCTAGAGCTGTTTTTCATACGATGGTGGTCAAGTTAAGTATGTATGATTTACAAAGTCTAAAGTATTTATCATCTGGTCCTTTATCAATCTTTTGACATAACAGCATCAACATTTCTATAGCAGGGCTTAACAACCTTAATTTTCCTTAGTTCATAACTTGATATGTGCTGCTGAGGTACCCTTTACTTGAATCCTATTAATATTTAGCTTTATCTGCTGTGTTCAATGAGATTTCCCATGTACAACATTAGATGGGAAGAAGCTGTGAAAGTTAGCTTTAGATTAGCAAAGATGATTGATTCCCATCAGAATTGCTTGCTGTCTATTTTTCTTATATTGCTGGAAAATTACCATTTCGGAGTCACTGTGAGAGGCCTGACCCAGGCTGGATGCAGACCCTAGCTCAGAGTGAGAAGCTTGGTCATGGGAGAGATGGGGCTCAATTATGTCATCGTAATCATCTTCCTCTGTGTCCCCCTCCCCATCGGCAAAAGTACCTCTAGTCAAGAAATCGGAGCGCGTCCGCGCCATTCGAGCTTTCTTTTTATGGGCCGGTCTGGCAACCTGCTTGACCAAATAATAAAACAAATAACACAACAACGTTTTGTTTTGTCTTTTTGGAGATGATGCCAATGAAAGAGGACCCATGAATTTCTTGAAACATCCCTCCACCCCAACATGTCCTTTCCACTAGTAGAAGTAACAGGGATGATCAAAAGAAATCCATATAAATTGCTCTGGACAAAGGGTAAGAATGAAAGCTAAAAATCTACATAACGCTTCTTCATAATCAAATAAGCCCCCCCTCCTTGCTATAACAGGTCACATCAAAGTCACTTGAATAAACTGTCTTTCTGTCTAAGCAACTTTTTTATACACATAATTTGGTTTTTAGATACCTCTCATTGCCTAGAATATACTTTACTATTTTTAACAGGTTTAGCTCATGGCTTCCTTCTGAAAACACTTGGAAGTAGATGAGGTATTCTACCTACAAGAATAGTAACTTCCAAAATAACGTGCATCTACATACAAAAGATAAATCCAGTACTTACCACTCGCTGACCTGGCCCAGCTAACTTCAGAGGTTTCCAAGCTGTTTCATCTTGTTTATGAACCTGAGGATTTCCAATTCTTAATGCTTCCTTTTTGATACTTTAAAACAACAAGATTATATTTCAATTTCTAGCAGATATTCCATAGAAGTAGTTTTAAAATACAGCATGAACTGTAGTCTACCAACTCAAGAATTATCAAGAATATGCATATATGACTGAATTCCTAGACGTCCTGCTTGGATGATCACTAGGTATACTCCACTATGGTGACCTATGTTTAAGAA